AGAAAAATTGACACTATTTATTCATAAGTTATACATTTACTCATTTAGTAATATGAGATGTTAGTTTTGTTCTAATTTTATCGTAAAACTGTATTTTTAGTCCTTCATAAAATATTTATTTAGTGTAATATAGCACAAGGTACCATGCTCGTACAAGCTAGATTTGTAAATCCTTGAGTTGAAAATAGTGTGAATTCGAGTGAGGTGATATGTACAAAACATATTGATACTTAAATTGTTATAAAATAAAAACGTTCAAAATATTTTGAAAAAAGACTTATTACAAAATCTGTTTATAAGAAACTAGAAATGTCACTCCAACAAAGAACTATTAATTAAATTGCTAATTCTGTTTAAAGAATCAGAAGTGCTATTTTTATTTTATTAATTCTAAAATTACTTAAACAAAATGTTGGATGGTTTTTAAATTGGGTGGATAAAATCAAAATGTAAAAAGTTGCAACTTTTGGGGATTTTTGTTCAAATTTGGCGGCGTTTCTATACCTTTTCGGATGTAATTTTGAATTTTAAATCATGCATGAATTTTCAGGATCGGAAGAGCTATGATAACAATTATGAATAGTGAAAGATCAGATCTCCTCTTCTCACTCGAAGCTCATTGTTTTGTTGGATACTTGCTTTCAAAAAGTTTCTTAATGTTCTTTGGTATAGAAAAATATTACAATGATTCTTGTCTTTATTACAACATGCGCAAATATGTGAATTTTGTACTAGTGATCTGAATTCTATTATTGTATCTTAATTCTTAAAGGTCTATTTTAATTACTTATACTCCTTGTAGGACAAATACAAAAGAAATGCTTTTAGGCAACTTGAGAGGTGTAGTTGGGTAGAAAAGATTTATACATCCTTAATCAAAGGTTCAAGGGTTAATCATTGACTATATCCTTAATAGGTCTACTTTTACCCTTACAATTATATTTTTAATTTCTTGGGAGACTACCTCATTCCCTTTTTTTTTTTTTTAGTTGTCCTCCTCTCCAACGCTTAATCTTTCTTTAATTTCTCCCCTCTTTCTCTCCATTTATCTCCAAGCATGGGAGATACCGTAAGAAAGGGGAGTGTATCTCACATTCCCCTCTAATTGGTAAAAACCTTGTGTGGAGGTCATGTTCTATATTCCTTGAAGAAATTACATAACATGAACCAAACATGAAAATCGTATATTCTCACGCTAATATAACATTAGTGATCTTATATAACTTGAATCAAACACTCTCAGAGTCTATTTGGATGTATATCTATACTAAGTCATTATCTAAAATTTTCAATGTTTGACTGTCAATAGAAAATGAAGTGAACAAAAAATACTTGTCAAAGAAAAAGGGAAACTCGCACTTTTTCCCTTGTATTATATGCTTATAGCACTTTTTTCGCCTAAATTATTCATGTTGTAATTTTGCATATTCTCTTAATCTAGGATATTTGATTTACTTTCTTGCCAGCTGGATAGTGGACTGATTAATACAGACTTACGATCAGACACTCATTCAGATAGATAAACATATAGCTTAATGCGGAAGACTAAGGTAGAAAGTAAAACCAACACACATGTCTGTTTACCCAGTTCGATACAGTGTGTATCTACATCCGGGGACGATCACCGATGCGTCCAATCCACTAACTCATAATACAATGTACAAAGGTAGAGACGAACGATCTCACTCAAGTGCCCCACACAAGGTCAGTACCCAATCTACAAAGGTTTAGTGGATTGTTGAAGTCGGAGAGTCGCGCATCCGGAAGTCCAATGAAATCCCTTCAATGGAGAGCTAACTCTGATGCAGTCCGCTTCACTGACGCAGTCCCACGTTGTTCCCACAACTGAGTGATCTTCGTGTCCACTGGTTTAAGCACAGTTGTTTCTTCTCAAGTTCATCTTCGTAATCACCATGAACTTTAGGTCTTGAGAAGAGAAGAAAACCAGAGCTGTCAATCTTAGAATGATGAGAGCATCCTCTATTTATTCAAGACCAGAATCGAGTGAATCTCTTGTGATCTTCTTAAATCTGCTCTCTCCATAAATAACTCTGGTTGAGTAAGGTAGGGCGAGTAATCAAGGTAAGATTATGTTCATACCTTTTTAGATGATTTATGTGATCCGCTGAATGAGGATTCCACTTAAATAATCACCTTATATATCAAAACCGCGTCTGCCAGCTCATACTTGCTTTTAATAGATGATCTCTGACGGCTTTAATTCTGAGACGCTCTGTCGAAATACCTGATCAATCAGGTCTTTAGTCTTCAAACTCTAAAACATAAAACCTATCTAATTTGCCATAATAATTTTGCCAATTACATGTTGGGGTTTTAGACTCAAAACACTACCACATGTATCTACATTAGCCTCAACAATTATTCTAAAAGTGGTAATTTTTCCCACTGATATGTTAAATGGACATTTTTACCCTTAAAATAAATATTTTATTTATTTTTTTACACCAATAAATTATTGCTTATATATAGGGATGATCACGATTTGATTCAAACCGAGCTAGACATTATAGCAACCAATATTTATAACTAGAACCCAATATTTGCTTATATAAGGCTCTGGTTACGATTTAGAACCAGAACCTAATATTTACGTTTCAGCTTATTAAAATTGCGAACCGAGAAATAATATACATTAATTGTTAAATTTAGACTACTTTAAAAATAAATAAATTCACTTTTTTAAAACAAAAGTTTGATCCAGTGGTTCATACTGGATCTAGAATCGTGAACCGGCGATTCAAAATTAGGACATAATCGATGTCATATCTACTTGTATGTGAGAATAAGAATAAATGCGGAAACGAATATACACTATTTGCAAATATTATAATTCTAATTTTAAGTTAATGCTAGTATTTGTTCCGATTTTGAAGTTCACGATTCAGGATCCAGTTTTTCCGGTTCGCGATTTTAATAAATATTGGGTTTCAGTTCTGAATCTTGACTAAAACCTTTTGATTCGGTTGGTAAAGTGTTTGATTCGATTTGAACCGAACCGATAGTCATCCCTACATATAAGCAATAATGTGATGGAGAAGAAAAATAAATGAAGTATTTATTTTAGGGGTAAAAATGTGCATTATTTAATATATCAGGGAAAATACCTTTACTTTTAGAATAATTGAGGGGCTAAAGTGACAATCATTATATCATTGACCAAGGTCCACAGTGCAATGTAGACCATAGTCCAATACACATAATTCATGTTCATAATGTACATAATTCATGTACATAATATACAAAATTCATATTCATAATACACATACATATAAACACGATATAATGAACATGAATTATATGCATTATGAACATAAATTCTGTGTATTATATAACTGAGGACACATAAACATCTAACATATAATACATAAAACTCATGTTCATAATACACAGAATTCATGTTCATTATATTTTGTGTGTGTATTATGAATAAGAATTCTGTGCATTATAAAGTTAAATTCTGTGTATCATTGTGAACCATGATCCAGTATATAATTTGCCCTAATATGGATACATAATTAAGGAAGTTATAGCCGATCCTTTATAACTCTCAACCTGCTAACTAGTGATGCTCTTGAATCATATATTGTCAAATTAGTGTGTTGAATTTAATTTGTTTGACCCATCCCAATAAATTATGGGTAATAACCAACAATTATCTTTATATATAGTTGATGTTCGAATTACGCCTAAAAATATAGCATTTGGGCACCTGAAGTCTGAAAATCAGTTGAGGCATATCCCGCAATTAATTTCATCCAGGAACTCTCCAAGAAAAGAATAGTGAGACTTGAAATTGGGATACAATCTTTTAAAATTAATATTTTTGAAAGGATTAAATTTATACATTACAAACATTTATTTATAAAATCTACAACTAACTTATAAATATTATCAGCCTAAAAAAAATTGGGGAAAAAAATCTATACATAAAAATAATATATATATATATAACACCTATACACACTTATCTTATATGTACTACATAGAGTTTGGAACTTTTTCTTAACTTAGCACGTTTAGTTTCAAATGTTGACTTCATCATATTTTTCTTTGATAATTAAGCTAGTAAAGATTAACTAAACCTTAAAGGTTTTATCCTAAAATGATTTTTGACTTGAAGAATATATCATAACTCTATTTAATTTGCTACAACTTATTTATTTCAATTAAGCAAGTTACAAATAAGCTATAAAATATGTTTGATAAAATATAAAAAATTTAAAATAATAGCTTATGAAATAAAACCCTAATTAAGTAGCTAGGGTTTCACAATAAGCTATTGGCTATTAATTTTTTTTTATTCTTATTAATTTTTAAAAAATAACATCGTCAATCTTTCATTAATCAAAATCCTAATATCTCATATTACTCTTTATGTCTCAAAGTAAATAAACTACCAGAATATATTAAAAAAGTAATTTTGGTACCGCAATGAGTTTTGTGTACAAGAATTTTAGCGTGTCCTCCTTCCTGCTACATGGGCTCAACATGTTTTATAACAGACAATAGCTAACGGTTACAAGGCTACCTAATAATAACTACAAGTGCTACTCTCAATAAGTGTCACTACTCCATAGTAATTGAGGTGCTCTCCTCTGTAAGTGCGTTGGTCCTCCATAATTCCTAGTAAGGCGGTGCTCTTAATAAATGCATGCATGGGCTATGCTTTAAATGTATTGTTCCACCCTTCTTTCACTCTAACCGTTACTTATTTAACCACCTTCACTGCTCTGACAGGTTAAACTAAGAGCATCAGGTCTATCCTATAAATGTCTTTTATACTTATAATTTATGTAACAACTAATTTTACTAACCACTTCAATTTCAATCACTTAATTTATTAGCTATTATATTTTCAAGCTAACCTTCAACTTTCAACAACCTTTTCAGCTAAATCTGTCAAATAGAGCCAATATATGAATAATTTGTTCATACAGAAATGGAAAACTTTTCTGCAAATAAAAGGTACGGAGTAATATATATATAAAAGCACAAAATTTTATAAAGTAAAAAAACAAAAACAAAAACAAAAAGGGGAACAAGGTCAAGTATTTGTTGAAAATACAATTAAAATGACCTTGCACTAGCTTAGTGAAGCAGAAGTAGTCTTCACAAAACATAAGAGTAGTGAAGTTAATAAGATGATGAGATCAGAGCCAGATAGCGCCGGCGTCTTTGAGCATCTTTTTGAGCGACCCATTAATATGAAGAGTCATGACGGTGTTGGCGGAGCCTGCAAACTTGCCGCCGATGAACACCGCCGGAACCGCCGGGTTGCAGCCGAAGCGGACGAGGGCTCGCTCCATTTCCCGGCCGTTGACGTCCTCGTCCAGCTCGTACACCATGGGGCTCACCCCTTGCTCGTAGAACAGCCTCTTGATTGCATGGCACATGCAGCATGAACTCTTGGTGAATATCACCACCGCCTTTTGAGACGCCACCTTCACTATGCGATCCATGATTTATAGATTATATATTATCAATAAATATATATATATAAGATGGATGATTTTTCCTAGTAGTTGAGTTGGATTAGGTGATTTCTTGTTATGGTGTTTGGAGTTTTGATGACCAGATATTTATATTGAGCTTGGTGGTGGATGCTATAATATAATATATTATTCTAGATTTGTTTATTACTTTTTTGGAAATCTTATTTTATGCGTCATGTACACGTATTACTGTTAGAAAAATCTCGTTTTCACTCCTTAAAATCACTTCGTCTTTATTTTGCATTTCTTGACGTGACATTATATATAATAAACCTTTGTATATTTATTAGTCATTCCACTTGAGTGACACTAATCACTAGTTTGGAATAACGGGTGTAAACATACTAAGAGCAACCTCAATAGTAAGGTATTTTTTTTTTTTTTATAACTAAGTAGGAGGACCAAGACTATGTGGTCTAATGGTATTCGGATTGGACTTTCATTTGAAAGATTGTGAGTTTGAGCCTCAGTGGAGGCGTTATTGGTTCTTAGGTCGAGAAAGTATATGAACAGTATAGGGGGAATAGAAAAACGAAAAAGCAAAAAGGACCATTAAACGTGCCAGCTAGGCGTTGTGAGTGTGCACAACACGCACTAATCATGCTCTTTTTTCCCTCTCCTATAGACCCCACAAAAAATCCACACTTTTTATATCACATGGACAAATTATACCATGGACCAGATCTTGATCTAAAATGATATTCATATTATGTGTTTATCGTTAATATATTATGTATCTTAAAGATTATGTTTCTTTAAATAATTAAATTGAAAATACATAATATGTTAACTACAAACATATAATATGTTCGATAATTAACGTATTATATGCATTTAATTTATTTATATACACACAATTTATTAATTGAATGCACATAATATATTAATTTCATACACATAATTTTTGGATCAGATCCACAATGTAAGATGGACCATAGTTCATGGTATAACAATTATGTCACATGCCCTATAAACAATATAATTTTTTTAAAAAAATTCCAATATAATAATAATAATAATAATAATAATAATAATAATAATAATAATAATAATAATATTATTATTATTATTATTATTATTATTATTATTATTATTATTATTATTATTATTATTATTATTATGTTAAACAATGAAAGTAAGAAGTGATTTTAAAGACGGGATGTAGTATAACTTTCTAAACAATTTGGCCATATTATTACACTCACAAATTACAAATACTGTGCTTCGGATATTGAATATGATCTATAAGTTACGAAATACAAATTGTTCGAAAGGCTGCTACCGAGGAGTGTGATAAAACAAAGCAGACGTAAAATGAAAAAGAAACGTGTACGGACGAATTTAATTATTGCAATTAATTAATTAATAAAATAAAAGGGACGAAAAGGTGATGTGAAAAAAGTGAAAATTCGTGGAGATATATGGATAGATTCTATGATGCCATGCTATAATAATATTACTACACAAAGATATGCATATTCTTGTGAGTTTATATGGTAGATTTTGGACATGCCAAGAATTGAAACATCAAATACAGAACCCATATTTGTCGCTAGCCCCTCCATTGGATTCTCAACTCGCCCACTCATTTTCATCCCCACCCTTGGTTGTGCTAATACACTATATATATATATATATATATATATATATATATATATATATATATATATATATATATATATATATATATATAATGGCTGAAGGTTGCTAAAAAATAAATAGAAAATGGATGATGTTAATTTTATAAAAGAATAATGGTCAAATAGGTCATCCAACTACACACCAAAATGTAATTAGGTTATCGAACTCAAAAAATATGTAAATGGGTCCTTGAACAACACAAAATTATGCAATTAGGGTGAAGTTTGGGAAGAAGTAAATTGGCAACTAACAAGCCATTCCCAAGAAAACATGAGAGTTAGCATCTTTAGTCCTAAACAACATACTAAATATGGGGCATAAAAGCGAGATTTATATTTTGTTTAATTCTAAATTTTCAGGTGGAATTACTGTTGATAGCATTTATAGATTTATTTGAGATAAATGTAATTAATTGTTTAATTATTGAAATGTGTAGAGTGTATTTAAGAGAATGGAATGGAGATGGCAAGTGTAGGAATGTCAACACATAATTAAGATGCCTAGCTAGTGACAGGTGGAAATAAGAGATAAATAGATTCATGCATACGTGGAAATTAAATACTATTACGTGTGCATTTTATTGCTAAATTAAACCTCCCCAAGTAAATGCATTATTAAAGGTTTGTTGATGATTGTGGAGAATATAGAGATATTGGCACAGGGAGAGATCGAGCATCCTAAATTTTGGAGTGTGGCTTTCTGTGGAGTGAAAAGCTAGGATAAAAAATAGATGATCAGGATTCCCTTACAAGAATAACACAAATGCAAAGCTACACTTATCAAAATATTTTAGGTTTCATAAATCTTATAACTCTCATATATATATATATATATATATATATATATATATATATATATATATATATATAGGGGGGGAGGGGCAACACACTCACAAGAGAACACGTTCTTAAGAGAAAATTAATTACAACTGTTTGGAATAAATTTTGTATAGATTTTGATGATGTTAACTGATGTATTTTTATGAATTTAGACTTCCAAGATTTTTGTTGTAATAATCTTTGTGGTTAATTATTGTATATATAGACCAAAATTAGGACTTAGCTACTGTTTAGGCCTTAAGCTATACGTACAGTGATCATACCGGTAAGTGTTCAAAGTAGCCTCTCATAGTTGATTGTGCTCACTTTCAGTAGCCTACTAGAGGGTTTTGTTATCAATTTCACCCTTATTTGGAAGAACTCACGGGTTCACACTAGTAGATGGGTGCAGTAGAACCCATCTTTGTTCAAATTAGGTCAACAACAGACTCCAAAATTCATGTGTATAGGTCTTTTGATAGATGTCGTTCTATCATCTAACCTTGGTTGATCCTCGGAAGTATTTAGTCAGGACCGATAGACCTTTGGCATGCAGCAACTTCAATGGTCCACCAGAAGACCTACGGAGTTTACGGAGAATGTTTCCTAAGATTTTGTGATAAGATCGAGCTATTAATAGGCACACGTACTCTCTAAGGACACTTGACAATAAGATATCTTCTAACAATAAGCAAACATGTTTTTTGGACATGCACCAATCCAAAACAATCATTTCACCAAAAATGAAAGAGTTAATTTCATTTTTGGTCCTAGATTTATGGGTGTCAATCCACTTTTAGTCCTTTTTTTTCAAAACATCATCCTTTAGTCCTAGTATTATTGTGGCATAATCATTTTTTGTCATCTGTCAACAAGCCGTTTAAATGACATTAAATACAATGACATTTTGGTCTATTCAGTTCTAAGTGTTATGTCATTTTCCATTTTTTGTCTTAGATTTATATGTGTCAGTCCACATTTAGTCCTTTTCTTTTTTCAAAACATCATCATTTAGTCCTAGTATTATTGTGGCATAATCATTTTTGGTCATCTGTCAACAAAATCGTTTAAATGACATTAAATACAATAACATTTTTTGTCTATTCAGTTCTAAGTGTTATGTCATTTTTCCTTTTTGGTCCAAAATTTATGTGTCATTCCACTTTTAGTCCTTTTTTTTTTCAAAATATCCCCGTTTGTCCTAGCATTATTGTGGCATGACCCTTTTTGGTCCTTTGTCAACAAATATATTTAAATTACACTAAAAATGGCATTATTAACCATTCAAAATTCTCTTTTTTTTTTTTTTTCTTCTTGGTAATAGAATTGACCACAAGTCTAATGCATTTTTAAGAAGTAGATTTATGCACTAGACTTAGGTTTGCCATGAAGTAGACTTGTGATCTTTTCAATTGCACTTTTTTGGATTTTGCAGTATGCTTATGAATTGATAACAATTTTATTGCCAAGAAAAAAAAAAACAAAAATAGGAGGATTTTGAATTGTTAATAACGTTATTCTTAATGTCATTTAAACATATTTGTTGATGAAGGATAAAAAACAATCATGTAAGGATAATGCTAGGACCAACAGGGATATTTTGAAAAAAAAAATGACTAAAAATGAAATGACACATAAATTTAGGACCAAAAATGTCATAAAATGACTTATCACTTAGAACTGGATAGACCAAAATTTTCTTGTATTTAACGTCATTTAAACGATTTTGTTGACAGATGACAAACAATGGTCATGTCACAATAATACTAGGACCAAAGGGGATGTTTTGAAAAAAAAGAAAAAAAAAAAAAGACTAAAAGTGGATTGACACCTATAAATATAGAAACAAAATATGGAATTAACTCTAAAATGAAAATGGTTTTTACCCACTGGTAAGTGGTGTGTTGCGGAAAAGTAGAAAATGACAAATTTTGGACACCTACCATTTTAGAAGGCACCAACAAGAAGATTTCAAACGTTTAAATTTCCAAAGCCTTCAACTCTCAATATAAATAACAACTTCTAAAGCATGAAAATTTACGAAGTTAAGATATTTCAAAAGTTAGAGCTAAAGAGTACATACCCAACTTTTTCAAGAGCTAAAATGCTTCAAAGAATTGTCTAGATATGTCCAAAGTTTAACCTTTAGACTAACTTTTCTTGTCTCAAAGATCAACAAATACTTCTCTCAATACTACTTGGTGGATGACGACCATTGAAGGATGTGGTGAGGCACTGAAGAACACGCAACTTTGTGAAGAAATTTGTTGGAAGGATTGCTATTTGGAGATTATTGCAAGTAACTTAGTTGGCTTAGTTTGCTATTAACGTGAAAGACTATAAGTTCATTTGTATTGAATTGATATTAGTGAAATCTCGTGTTAAGGAGAAGAGTGGAGACCCGAACCACTAAAAATACTTGACTCAATCTTTACTCCTATCTATTTAATTTTTTGAGCTGAATGAACACACACACATGCTTAGCTTTATCTTACTACTACAAAATCATTTAAAGCAAAAGCTTAAGACTTCCGTTAAGCAATTAATCTAATCATATCATTTTAAAAAGGTTTTAAAAATCGTGAAAGTATATTCAATTCCCCTCCC